GCTGGACACTCCTTTGACATCTCTGATGTTTCTCTCTGAAAAGCTACTGTGATTTTTGGCCTCCCAGTCTCAAGACTGACGTGGGGTTTGAGTCTCATAGCAACAGCAGGCCCCCCCTGACCTTGGCACGTCATAAGGCAGCGCTGCTCTCTACAGCCCATATTGCTACCGAGGATAATGAAGCGGGGTTCCCATGAGAGAAAACGGCTTCTGTGTTTGGGGTTGTTGGCTTCAGGGGTCGCACTTGGTGTAAAGATGGAATTTAGATTTGGGGGAGGTCCGGTGGAGTCTCTCTATTTCTAAGCTGGGCCCTCTGGGCTTCCTGCCCTGGCCCCGTTGGTGGCCTCCTTGGGGATGTTCTTCTAGGCTCAGGTAAGGGCTTGGAGGGCAGCCTCACCTGTGCTGCCTGGGTAGTCATCCAGGCAGTTCCCATTGCGTGGCTATTATATGGTTTGCTCTGAGGGGGGTCCCTGGGCTGGGGTATATTAGACTGTGCTCTGGGGTTTGCCCTGTGGTGCAGGAGAATGCACCAAGATGCAAGCCCCCTATCCCCAACACCCCCCCGCACCTCTGCTGTCCGGCTCCCACTTACCTGATCATTGTGGGATACAGCTCCCCGGTATAGAGGAAGATGCAGTTGAAGGAGGAAGCCAGGCAGCCCTTCCCCAGCACAGCCAGGGAGGTTCGAACAATGGACTGGTCTAGAGAGAAGGGAGTGGGGGTGGAGGATAGAGGGAGCTTTGGAGTGGGAGACTGGGAGGAATTGGCCTCCCCTGCCTTTTCAGAAGGTTGGACCGTGCCAGGGAGTGGAGCCTAGGATGAGGGAGCTCATGGGTACTCACCATGGGGTACCACCCCATTGACCAGGATGCAGATGCCCGCCAGCAGCAGGGAAAAGATTTGGGCAACTCGGCGGCCCAGGGAGTTGATGACTAGGAAGCACATGAGCTTGGCAGGCAGGTCCACGGCCCCAAAGATCACCTGGATTAGGTAGATGCTGACCCCAAAGCCCTGCAGGTCCATGACTAGCCCATAGTAGGCAAAACTTGTGGCAAACCTAGTGGGGAGGAGTACAGAGGGTGGGTGTGATAGGCAGGCTTAAACTGGGAAATGAGGTGGCTTGCCTGGGGAGCCCTGCTGGCTTGCACTCTTGGGTGGCTTCCTACAGAGTCAGCCGTTCCACACGGAGGCTTTGGACTCGCGTAAAGCATTCCCATCCCAGAATCCCACAGGGCCAGTTCTACCTGGTCCTACAGGGTTGCTAGGAGCCAGAAGCAACTCCATGGCAGAGACTTTTGATGGGCACTTTAAGGAGCTGGGCTCGTCCTTGGTTCATATCCCTTCAGACTGCTAGGGCCCCCCTGAAGCATTGGCATAGTCCTCCCATCCCCCAACAGCCCCAGTCTTCCAATAATTAGTGTTCCTGATGTCTCAGGAAATTTGCGCTTGATTGTGATGTAGGATGGGCGTGTTTATCTTATCGAGTGATGCTGGGCCCAGAGAGGCGGACGGGTGGATAGTCACAGCATCTCTTTCAGGCGATGTCGTAGAGAGGCCAGAGCTTTCTCAGACTGGTCCAGGGTCTTGGGGTGAGTGTTGCACCCATGAAACTGACCCGGGCCTGCAAAACGGAGTTTAGGGCACTGCACAGAACCCACCAGTAAGGGTGACTTTCTCCAAATTTGAAGCCAAGAGTTCAGCTGTCATGGGGTGGGGATCGCTGCGGTGATGGTAGGGAGGGGAGCTTCGAAGGGGATTGGGGGGATGTGGCAAGGGGAACGGAAAGGTTGTGGCTTGTCTCGGCCTGGCACCAAAGTGAGCTTTGGCTTCGAATCATCTGTGCCTGCGTTTCTTGTACCTTGAGGTCAGTAATGTTTCTAAATGTTTGGCCAGCCAGGCTGCCCTTTGCTGGAGTCTCCTGATTCTGGGGCCCCCCCCCACCCTTGCTGTGGTGTTTTGTAGATTGGAACATGGTT